TCTAAAACTATTATCAAATTCTTCTACTTCATCAGAATCCCCCTATCATCGTACCACATACAACTACCTTAAAGCTGACTGGGACTCTTTCCGTGATTTTCTTCGTGATGGCCCTTGGGTAGAAATCTTTCGTCTTCCTGCTGACAAATGTGCTTCTTACATAACTTCGTGGATTCAGGCTGGCATGGAATCTTTTATTCCCTCTCGACGATTCCAGGTCAAACCTCACTCTTCTCCTTGGTTTTCCTCACATTGCGCTGCAGCAATTTCTAATCGAAACCGTTACTTCCATATCTATCAGCAAAACAATTCTCCAGAAAACAGACATCTGTTCACTATCGCCAGAAACCATTGTAAAAAGGTTTTGTCTGACGCCAAAGCTCGCTATTCCCAGGTCATTAAATCTCGTATCTCATCACAAAAATTAGGCTCTCGAGACTTCTGGAGAATCTTTAACAGTATCAATAATAAGGGCAAATCTGTTATTCCTTCTCTCTTGTATGGTTCAGACTTTGTCACCTCACCTAAAGACAAAGCTGAATTGTTTGCTAAGAACTTTTCATCAATATCATCTCTTGATTCCACTAGTTGCGTTTTACCTGACATAGCCGTCAAACAGGTTGATCCCTTGCTTGACATTCGCATCACTTCAGCTTCTGTATCTAAAGTAATTTCCTGCTTAGACTCTTCAACAGCTTGTGGTCCTGACAACATTCCTGTTGTAGTTTTGCAGAGGTGTTCTCCGGAGCTTTCATCCATACTTTCTAAACTATTTAACAAGTGCTTATCAGAGTCTTGTTTTCCATCATGCTGGAAAGCAGCATCTGTTATCCCTATTTTCAAAAATTCCGGAGAGCGATCTGATTCATCTAACTACCGTCCCATTAGTCTTCTTCCTGTCATAAGCAAGGTTTTTGAATCTTTAATCAACAAACACTTAATCTCTCATCTTGAATCAAATAACTTACTCTCTGATCATCAATATGGATTTCGGTCTTCTCGTTCTACAGCTGATGTGCTAACAGTAATAACCGATAGGTTTTACCGTGCATTAGATAGAGGTGGAGAGGTTAAGGCTATCGCACTTGACATTTCTAAAGCTTTTGATAAAGTTTGGCATGCTGGTCTTCTCCATAAGCTTTCTTCTTATGGTGTAGCTGGTAACGTCTTTAAGATTATTGAGTCCTTTCTTTCCAATCGTAGTATAAAAGTTGTCCTCGATGGACAACACTCTTCTTCACATCCTGTAACTTCAGGGGTTCCTCAAGGTTCAATCCTTGGCCCTATACTCTTTTTAATTTACATTAACGATCTTCCAGATATTCTCACATCTAAGGTGGCATTATTCGCTGACGACACTACCATTTACTCTTGTCATGATAAGAAGCCTACACTCTCTGATTGCTTGGAGGGGGTATCTGAGCTTGAAAAAGATCTCACTTCTGCTATAGCATGGGGCTCACAGTGGCTGGTGAACTTTAATTCAGATAAAACTCAATTTTATTCGGCCAATCGTTATCGTAATAATTTAGATCTTCCTATATTTATGAATGGTAATGTACTAGATGAGTCATCTACCATTCATCTTCTAGGATTAACTCTTACTTCTGATCTTTCTTTTAAACCGTATATCAAATCCATTGCAAAATTAGCATCTGCAAAGGTTGCATCTCTTTATCGAGCTCGACACTTTCTTACTCCAGATTCTATTCTCTATCTCTATAAATCTCAAATCCGTCCCTGTATGGAATACTGTTGCCACATCTGGGGCGGATCTTCTAATGATGCTCTTTCTCTTTTAGACAAGGTGCAAAAACTAATTGTAAACATAGTTGGACCTGCTCTTGCAGCCAATCTCCAACCTTTGTCACATCGTCGTAATGTTGCTTCTCTTTCTCTTTTCTACAAATACTATAATGGGCACTGCTCTAAAGAGCTAGCGTCCCTTGTGCCATCTACTAAAATTCACTCTCGTGTTACTCGCCATTCAATTAAGTCTCATCCTTTTTCTGTGACTGTTCCTAAGTGCTTCAAAAACTCTTATTCTTCTAGTTTTTTTCCTCGAACATCAGTTCTTTGGAATTCGCTTCCTTCATCTTGCTTTCCTGATTCATATAATTTGCAATCTTTTAAGTCATCAGTCAATCGTTATCTTGCTCTACAGATTTAGTCTTTTCTCTTCCAGTAACTTCCAACTCTTATAGTGGTTGCTTGCAGCCTTGTTGGAAGTGAAGATGTTAAAAAAAAAAAAAAAAAAAAAAAAAAAAAAAAATTATAAAGCAACCCTTTAATAATAAATTAATCATTGCTCCTATCGTAACAGAAAGCAAAAAATCCTGACTCTGCGAGTCAGGCTATTTGTCAGTCGATGTATGTACTGAAGCCCCCGCAGCAGGCTATTTCAGTATGATGTCATCATGCTCACCTAACTTAGCAGTATAAAATATATACACTTTATATATATATATATATATATATATATATATATATATATATATATATATATATACATATATATATATATATATATATATATATATATATATATATATATATATATATATATAAATATATATATATATATATATATAAATATATATATATATATATATATTTATATATGTATATATATATATATATATATATATATATATATATATATATATATATATATATATATATATATATATATATATATATATATATATATATATATATATATATATATATATCAGGCTTGGACAGGAATGGCATGCGATCGCACTCTGTAACTAACCACGCTAAGATTTTTTTTTTTTACAACTTGACCACAGCTATTTTGATATTTTAACAATTTTAACGCAATAAAAAAAGGGTTATGTCATGAATAACTTTTAATTGTTGATCATTTATTTTAGGCGAAAGCTTTAAATAAAACCATAACATTAATTATAATGATTGCTTACATAAACACATATGTAAAATAATAAAAATATTATACATAAATTTTTTTATGTGGGCATGTATTTTTGATGATAAATTTAAATGTTTGAAAGTATTTTTCCATGTCTTCTTTTTTTTTTTTTTTTAAAGAATTTTTTTAAGTTACTTCAATTTATTTTCAAAACCTTTTGTGAGTAATAGCTATTACGCATTTATGTGAATTATACAAAAATATAAAATAACTTAATTTACTTTTATAAACATGTATTTTGTTGATTAATGGAAAAGTTGTGAGGCATTTTGTAATGTTCATATGATTAATTTTTATAATTAAACTTACAATTTTTAAAAATCTTTTAAACAAACATTTTGTTTAAAAAGAATTTTTTTTTTTATAATTATTACGTTAGGAATGAATGAGTTTAAATTATTTATAATAATTTTTAAATTTGTTACGTGAAGCGCTTATTAATAAAGTTGTAATGTTCAAATTAAAATTAAATTGCCTGTTGGCAGTTTATTTTATTTAAATCGCAGACGCATTTGATTTATTTATTTTTTCCTAATTTTTACGAATAAAAAAGTTGAAAGCCTTTTTTTTAACTTGACTTACTAACTAGAGAATGAAATTATTAAAAATTAGTATTTTTAAAAGACAACCTTATTTTTTTAAAAAATATTTTTTTTGCAACTTTTTTGAAAAAATAAATGTTTATACAACTTGAAAATATTATATACAACACTTTTTAATAAATTTGATAAAATTTATTCATTTATTAAACAACCATTAGTAGTAATTTGTTAATTAATTTAAAAGCGTTTTGCGTAACTTAAAAAATAAAACGTGTAGAAGGATAAGTTTTATAACATAACATTCATTTCAAACGCAATTAAAAACGTTACAAAAAGTTTCGCTCCAAGATTTTAGTGCTTGTATTTTTCGTTAAGAATTTGTTTATTGTTTTTTATTTCATCATTTTTTTAAAACTTTTTTCTAGTTTAAGCTCAGAGTTTTTACATTCAGCGCATTTCTGAAATGTTTAAATCATCAAAACATATAAACAATCGTGGTAAAGTAGTCAAAAAATAAAATCATTTGCATGTTCAGTAATTGTGCTTGATCGCACGCCATTCCTGTCCAAGCCTGTATTTATGTATGTATATATATATATATATATATATATATATATATATATATATATATATATATATATATATATATATATATACACGATATATATTTATATATATATATAATATATTCGATATATATTTATATATATACATATATATATATATATATATATATATATATATATATATATATATATATATATATATATATATATATAGAGAGAGAGAGAGAGAGAGAGAGAGAGAGAGAGAGAAAGAGAGAGAGAGAGAAACATTATTACATACATAATACAAGCTTTAAAAAAACGAATGCTTCTGGAAGTACCATGTTCAACCTATTTTTTAGCGCAGTGACAAAGGTTTAACAAGGTTTGTGTTTTGGTGTTTAGGGTTGTGAGAACTGCAAATAAAAATTAAAAAAAAAAAAATGAGTAGCAAGAACTCAAACTTTCAATAATATTCCAATACTGATATTTTAGAATTCTTAATGTTAATTCAGTAGGCATTTTAATCTAGCTTAAGTATTTTCTGGTAATTATATTTTAACTAAACTTTATTTAAGAAGGATTTAAATGTTATTGCATCAACCTGAAACATGAGAAATACTTATATGTATAGTTTTGTTTATGACTACAGACTACTAAAAAAATATATTTATATACATATAAGTAATTTTTCTATTTATTATACTAATACTGTTAAAGATATTTTTTAATAATCCATTTAACTTTCAGATAAAAATCTTATTGGATTATTAAATACAATACAAAATATGCTAAACGGATATCCAGCATACTTTATATTGAAAGACAGAGATTTAGACTTGTATATAACTATACTTATAAGAGTAATATTAAAAATATATATCTTTACAACAACTCAAAAAAAAAAAAAACTAAACTAGTCATAAATACAAGTATTGAGGTTGGATGAATTATACATACTTAAATGTTGCATCTAATTGTTGAGCAGCAGTTCCAGCAACTAGATACACAGGATATTGTTCTTTTGGACTCCAGGCTACATTAGCTGTCCTATTAATTTGTTTAATGTTCATGTTTGAACGATTTTTTTTGCTTTAATAATACACTTACCAGCTAGATAAACATAGAAATAAAATAATATATTGATTTAAACAAAGTAAAACATGTTTCTAATTTTAAAAGGCTACTACTCAAAAGCAATTAGTTTTAATCAGAGCCCCTAATAAAAATTTTTTTCTCTTACTGATAGATTTAATTTTTATTTTAGTATTTACGTCGACGTGGCTGCAAAGTGCCATACTTAGTGATTCCGTCTGACGTCAGTATTGCTTTTTGTCGTACCGCGACCAAATAAGTTGCTGAGCAGAATTGAAGCCCTTATCCACCTCTTCCATCGCTTTAATAATTCAGAGATAAACAGTTAATAAATTTATAATGACTGCTGACATTTTTTTAAATTGTTATTTTTAACTAAAAATGTTTATCTATATTTATGTATATTTAGCTATTTAAAAAAAAAACGGCTATATAATAGGCCTAAAGCCTAAGTTAGAGCTAGGCTTGTCTTTTTTTTCTTGCTTTTCTAAATTTTATCAAACTTTCTTAAAAAATATTTCTTTTTTTATTTCTAATATATTGCTATTACATACTATAAATTACACTTGATCATAAACTGTTATTCATTAGTAAGTTTTTGTTTATTTAATTATATGCTTGTTTTTTCTTATCATTTCAAACATTTTAAAAATAATGTAATTTAATACCATTACGTATACATTTCATTTATCCGACTTTTTTGGTAAGTTTAAAACTTCTTTTGTTACTCTCGGTTACTATTAAGTTTACATTTTTGTTGTTGCTATTGCTGTTGTTGTTGTTGTTGTTGTTGTTTTTGTTGTTATTGTTGTTGTTGTTATTGCTGTTGATGATGTTGTTGTCAGTGGCGTACATATACTTATTTTTTGGATTTTTGCCATTTGTTTTGGAGTGCTGCATTATGTAACACCAAAAACAACAAATTAATGTAGTGCGCAGTGGTAATGAACATTGTACATTTTAAAATTTAAATTGAAAAAAGACAAAGTGGATGTGTAAACAGAATAATTAGTAACAAAATTCCATACCCTAATAATTTATTTGCATAAGATACATAATCGCGTTTATTACATTTATTATGTGAAATAAGTTTTTTGTTGATAACATCTTTAGGAACAATGAGAAGGTACAAATGTAAAAACTTAGAAATATGTAGATCGACAAGGTTGTGTGTAATTTTGTATGTCATTATAAAGTCAAATTTTATTCTACTGCATTCGAGAAATTCAAGATCAAAGATGTTGAGTCATGAGGAGAATAGGAGGATGAGAATAATATAAAGAACCTTTTTTTATCCGACGTATATCTCTTTAAAGGTTTTAATGTAGGTCGAACATAAACTTTGTAGATACTTATGAAAAGCTGGGAATCGTAACTGATAAAAAATTTTAAAAGTAAGTAATTACGAGAATGTGTTTTTCCTGCAATTAAAGAACAGTAATTGGAAAACTTTATATCCGAAGACACAAATATATCGATATCTTGAATAAATTTAATAAACTCAATAGGTGTATCAATGTTCATTGACTATGAACGTAATAGTAAAGAACTGTTTTCATGGCGTAGATAAAAACATTTTTTGGTCACTATATTAGTTTGCCAAATATTTTAACGTTTTGAAAATTATTTTAAGGTATCAAGGTTGTTTCCATCGTCTCTTGCTTGATACAACATCATTTGCATCAAGATGTTGTTTGCAGATGACAGCTGTTTGCAGATAATACAGCTGTCATCTGCAAATGGCTTGATGTCACAATTACCACTGATACACAAGGTTACATCGTTTATAAAAACTAAAAATAAAATGAGTCATTTAAGGAACTCCACTCTTTACAAGAATTTTGTTTGAATACGAGGAACTAACACAAACACATTGAGAACAATTTGTTAAAAAGTTTGTTATCCAGTTTAGCAATTCGTACTTAATAACAAAGAAATGCAGTTTGAACAGTTACTTAGAATGAGTCAAAGTTTACATATAGAATATAAACAATCTTTTTGTAATTGGCAGCAATAATTCACTAGTTTAAGGTTATCAACATCTGTGTACATGTGGATCTACGCTTTAAAAAACCGCGTTGATGAACAGAAATGAATAAATTAGAAATAAATTTATTAATTTGTAAGTAATTTTTAAGTAGTAAGTAACTTTACAAATAATGCACGTCGTCTAATTAGGTCTAAAGTTTGTGGTTAAAGATGGATTTTCTTTCTTAAGATGAAATGAATCACTTACACTTAAAATGAATTAAACAGTGATCATAAGTGTTTCTGAATGGAGCAATAGTTTCTACATTAAACGCATTTTTACAGTTGTTAATGATGAAATTAAGCAACAAGGATTTTGTTTAGAACTAAAACTGTGCCTTAAGTTCTTGTCGATGACATCAAACTTTTAAAACTTCAAAGAATATCTCATATGTTTAAGTAGGAGGATGAGAATAATATAAAGAACCTTTTTTTATCCGACGTATATTTTTTTAAAGGTTCTTATGTAGGTCAAACATAAACTTTGTAGATACTTATGAAAAGCTGGGAATCGTAACTGATAAAAAATTTTAAAAGTAAGTACGAGAATGTGTCTTTCCTGCAATTAAAGAACAGTAATTGGAAAACTTTATATCCGAAGACACGAATGGAGCAATAGTTTCTACATAAAATGCATTTTTACAGTTGTTGGTTAGTATTAAATCTAAAAGGTTATTATGTTGTGTGTTATCAGCTTTAAGCTGGCTTAAGGCATTCGTAGAGCATTTTTTTACAAATAGATTGTGAGAAGAATCTCCAAAAGTTAATTAGGATGGACCAATTTATAAGTGGCAGATGAAAGTTGCTACTACTACACATGCAGAATTGCATGTTGACTTAAGTCTTTTAATTGTCTTACATAAGGTTTGTGTATACAAAACAAAGATGGCTGCACATGGTGGGTGGTAATTGCATGAATTTTTTATCTTTTGGTCCTTGGAGGCAGCACATGTATCTTCTGCATTTTTTCAAGTTTCTCTGGGACTTAGAGGATAATTTGCAAAGTTAATCTATAATTATATCCCAGTTAGCAATAGTACATGGGTCATATATAGGACCCATGTGGGCTGTTTTATAGGCCATATGTAGGAAGCCTATCTGAGACCCATAAAAGTTTGTCCGCGGTCTTTCAATGGGTCCTATGTGGGCTAGCCCATATAGTTAGCCCATATTGGACCTATATAACCTATGTTTTAATTTAATTTTTCTTTACAGGAATTTTTATGGTTTGCCCATATTGGACCCAACAAACACCTATATTCTTTTACTTACTTTGGCCCGTATAGAACTTATTATGGTTAACCCATATTGAACCCAACAAACTCCTATTTTCTTTTACTTACTTTGGCCCATATATAACTTTTTATGGTTAGCCCATATTGGCCCCAATAAACTCCTTTTTTTATGGGGGGGCGCCTATACGAATCTTTAGATAGTTACTCCATAACCAATAAACTGAGCAGCCGTGGCGCAGTGGTAGCGCACTTGCCTCAGAAACGTAAGATCCGTGGTTCAAACCCCACCTCTGGGCAAGTTTTGTGACATCGGTTGGGAAGGAGACGTGAACTTCGTATTAAATGCTCTTCCGCGGTGCTCTATGATAAGTAAAGTACGTAAGGACTTCTTGGGGCACTTAAATCAACATAAAAAAAAAAAAAAAAAAAAAATAACGTAACCTATATAAAACCTTTGACATTAACCTAAGTATTGGATCCAACTACTAAACTTACGTTCTCATATATAAATGAATCTTAAAAATACAATCTTATTATCTAATTATTATTATCTAATTTACAATGTGTTCATTTGTATTTAATAGCAAAATTGCAGACAAATATTACCTAAATTTATTTAAAACTATGGATATTCACTATAAATCACTTGAAATAGCTCAGTTCCTTTTATCACTTTTTTTGACTGCCTTCGCTGACAATTAAATTGCAGAGTTATTGTTTAGCAACTGCTGCATCATACGGCGAACAGCTTCATCAACTTTTCTCCCTCCAATACCGGCAAGAAAGTTAACCTGCAATACATTTAATCAAAGATATTTTAAACATACTGAAAAACTTACTTATAACAAAAGTTCGTTCAAAGGTTTTATCAAAAAAAGGTTTTTTTAAAACAAAATAAAAATTTATTGTATAATAGCTAATCTGCATACAGGAAAAAAAACACCAGAAAACTAGTATTGCAATCCTTTAATATGATAGACTAAAAAAATACTAAAATTAAAAATGCTTAGATGAAGTTTGTTATAAAATAGGAAAGAAATATAGATAAATATTTGCTTCTACTTATCTATATTGCTTTCCGATTTTCGATTGAACTGTATATTCAACTAATATGATCTAGGTTATAAGTATTATCTTACAATTATGTTTGCAATGTTGGCATCTTTTAGCTTAATTTCAATTGCATCAAAAGCTTCCATGTTGTCCATTGGAAATATCACCCCATCTGGTAACCCTGAAGCCTGCACAACAAAATTGCCTCGAGTAAGCATAGCGTTTAGCATATTGGTGTCGATAGCCTGAGTTTGCTGAATACCCACACACACTTTCAGCAACTGTACTACTAACCCATGCATTGTTTGTTCTTGGTAAAGTGTAAAAAATTATTTACATTATCATATATATAGTCATTAATTTATTCTAAAAAAACAAAAATCAATAATCACTTCCTAGATATATTACTGCACGATAATGCATTCCCAATGTTTTGTACTGTTACAACATCTAAAATAGTGTTGACTGTACTATAATAACATAAATCATAATTACATAAATTTAATTTACTAACAGCTGATTCAGCTTGAGATCAAATACGTTTAAAAATATGCAAGGTATGCATAGTTTTTTAAACTATGGAACTTACCAATATTTGGAACTAGTGGTGTTGTTGTTACCGTCCTTGACAAATAATCTGTTGTCATGTCTGACAGGAGAGGGCAATGGGTTGGTTTCATCAATGTTGCTATGTCAAGAGATGAAAGTGGTGTTTCAGAAGATATTTGCATTATTGGTGAAGTTGATATCAATGTTGGTGAACTTGACGGTGAAACAGACAACAGCATAGAAAATAAAGGGGGAGGAATTTGAGTTATGGCACTTAGTTGAGTTTTCCCAGCAAATTTTTTTTTCTTAAGAGGGAAATAATCTGTCATTTTCAAATTCAATTTCAGAATCAAAATGTGATGAAATTTTTCTAGTTGCAATTCTAAACAATAAATCTAACTACCAAATGTTTTTTATAGTAGTTAGTAAACGTATGAAATTATAAAGTTAAACACTAATATGCTCAACACTAATACAAGTATTGAGCGCACAGTAATTCTATTAATACTTTTTTCGCCTAATCGGGACATCTTTTTCTTCAGCCTCCAGTTCTGTAAAATTTAACTTCTGCATATTGCAACTTTTCTCTTGCTCTTGTGTAATATTTATTGGTCTGGTCATGACATTAACTGATCCAATATTGGGGCTTCAAAATAACTCAATAACACACAAACTTTTATAAACAACATATGAAATAATCCTAAAACAATAACAATGTCCCATACCAGCTTTTCCCAAGACACGAATTTGTAATTTATCCCACTGGGCACTTGATGCCCAGTCAAGCCACTCTATCTTTTGCCAAGTTCTTTTGTTGATAACTTTTTTGGAGGCCACAAAAACTCTTCTTTATCAGAATTTTAAACATTTTAAACAAAAATTATTTTTCAATTTAAACAAATTTATATTATAAATTGAATCATTAGCATCAAAAAATTGATGGTGAAACCACTAGGCAATAATTTTTCTGTTTTTTAAATTGGTTAAAATGTTCATATTAATCCCTAAAATTGATGCGGTATAGTGAATATTCATTATACCGCATCAATTTTAGGGATCAATATGAACATTTTAACCAATTTAAAAAACAAAAAAATTAAACCTTACCATTTTTATACCAAAATTTGACACAAAAACTATAAAACTAAATTTAAAAACTTAAGCAACTTTTTACCTTTTACGTTAATTTGATTTTAAATACACTAAAGGAAAGAAAATAACCTTTTTTCAATTTTTTTTTAAAATTATTTAAAGATTTGTTTTTAATTTGATAAAGAAATAATAAAGATAATGATTAATTTTTCAGCCCTAAAAATGCTAAGCTAAAATTAAAACAACAGAAACAAGATGGGAAAAATTACTTATCGACCTAAGTCAGCAGTTAGGTTGCAAATTGCTCACATCCTACCTGAATTTGGAGGGTAGAGGGTAAATAAGAATAATCATCAGAAACAATATATAATTTCTATAACATAAAATACAATTTAAATACATTTATATAATATAAAACACAATCTGCATTGTCTATCTGGCAATAACATTAAAAATTTTAACATATCCAAAGTGATCTTATTTGGATATAATAGTCTGAAATAATTATAAAAATGTCAAGAGAAATATGCAAGTATATGCTTGGAAAATAGTACATTTATGTGCAAAAAAATTAAATTGTATAAAGAAGTAGTAAAAAAATCTTGTAACAATATATTCAATACAGTTATTGATTGTATTAAAGATTTTATTTTAAGTTCCAAGCAAATTTTGTATTCACTTATTCCTGATGCAATAATGGCATAGCTAAATAGCTACTATTATCTAAAGGTATGATGACAAACTTCTTTCCAAGATCTAACATATTAGCATACCTTAAAATATCTGAAATTTTGTTTACAACGAATATTTCCAAAATAGAAGACTGAAGTGGACAATCAAAAAAGGAACTAAATTCAGTAACAGAATTGTAAACAACAAGAATTTCGTTATTATTTGATAGTATGATATTTTTGACAAAACATAATATCCCATAAATTTTAAAACAACTGTCGCGTAAAGAAGTTGAAACAAAATACTTTTTTCCTTTGTAGTTTTTATATTGCTGGTAATATCCTGGAGGCAAATTTGAAGGCATCAAACCTGTTGAATGTTTTTTTTGTAAAAGTGTAGCAGCTTATTTTTCAACATACATTGAATTTCTATTTTGCAGTTTAGCAAATGCCTTCTCTTCACATTGTTTATTAATTTGAGAAATTGGATTATGTGGTTTATTAATTTGTTAATGTGGTTTATTAATTATGTGGTTTATGTGCATATAATCTAAAGGGAAATTAGAAACCATGCCAATATTGAGTTTAGTAAGCGGAGATACCATATTTGGAGTATAATGCTCTTCATCCTTTTGTGCAAGAAAATCTTCATCAGTTCTTAATGGTGCATCTAACTTAGGGAAAATCATTTATTTGAACATTACACACCTTCTTGTGTGCAACGCTTACAGGCATTTTAGCCACAATGCCCTTTAATGCATTTTATAAAAGCTCTGGCAGGGGCGTCACAAATAACAGCATTTATAGTTACTGTATAGTGTTTATTCAAAAAATTTATACCTTTAAAACCTAGGTGTTTCATTTCTGTACCAAATTTTTTTAAATATTCAGATGGTGGAGATGGTTTTGTTATGCCTGAATAAAGTCCAATAAATAAAAACATCACTCAAAGATACTTCAATTATAGAACCTAAAATAGGCCATAGCTGTATATTTGAGCTACGAAAAACTGGTAGACCATCAATATTAATATTTAATTTTAGATTTACACAATCAGCAGGCAACTGTTTTGTTTGCAGGAGTATTCTAATTGCATTTTCAACTCCAACATGATGATACACACCACCTGCAACTACTTTTTGTAAAACACTAGATGGTGTTTTTAATAAAGTTCTTGCATCTTTTGGAACATGAACGCCCACATTTTTAAATATTTTTAACAAAGCATTAACAGCCTATGTGAAACATTGCATTTAATTATCCATTGCCGAAGTTCTTCTTGTATATTGTAGTCATCACTGCTCAATGAACTTGAGATTGACTCATTATCAGAATCATTGCTAAATTCTGATAAGTCATTGTAAACAAAATCATTATTTAAAGCTCCATATGATGGAATTTCTGTAAATGCACTTTGTGACAAATCAATTTCCTATATATCATTCTCCCAATTTGAGGATACATGTGGATCATGTTGAGGTAGAATTTTAATTGCATTGTTTACTATCACTTCTTCATTAATTAAATTTTCTTTACTTTGTAAATTAGTTAGCATTGTGCTAACAATTTTTGCTACTTTACAACGCTGTGTTCTAGAACATATTTCCATGTTTATAAAAAGAACTTTTCCCTATAAAAGAGCACTTATGTATATTAAAAGCATAATATATCATTAATATTAATACAATATAAAAAAACAACATTCACAAAAGTTATTAACAATAAATAATGCCAAATCACAAAGTAAATTTGTTATTATGATAAAATAAATTTATCTTAAATTAAATTAATTTATAAAGTAAATTTATCATAAATATAATCTGAATAAAACATGCAATTTCTTCAATGATCAATATTCTTATTATTGAGTGATTATATTCTTTTACTTGATTATATACTTTTACTTGATTATATACTTTTACTTGATTATATACTTTTACTTGATTATATACTTTTACAAACTGCATTGAGTCGTTACAATTCCTAGCAATTGTTATGTTTTAAATAAAATACAACAAAATAAAAATAACCTAATATTAATAATAACATCATAACATCATAAATCCTAGTGAGTGACATTCCAAAATCTTTCAACAAACTAATGTCAATGTTTAAGGCTCCTGTGAAAAATAACCAATGAAATATAAATATAAAACCTTATTTTTGTCTTTTGATATGGAAACCATATGGGAAATATAAAAGATTTATGTTAATTTTATTTCTTTTAAATATAGAATAATAACGAATTGTAATTTATCTATTGTGTTAAAATTCAATAACTGTATTAAAATTCAATAATTTGCATAAATAACAAAATCTATTTTAAACTATAAATACTTACTAATAAATATCTTGGAACACCTCAGTACTTTTTAAAACCATTTTTGCCTGCACTTGCAAATCATTTATTAGATTTATTTAGTGAAAACAAAATCAAATATTTATAATAATTGAAATATGTATTAATTAAATCATCTATTATTTAACTTATATTTAATAAATAAACTTTATAAAAAGCTTTGATGAATGAAAATTAAAAAATTATTCATTACAAAAGTACTGATAGTTATTGACAGTCGTTGCCAAATAAAAAAGTGTTATTTAGTTTTACAGACAAATTATTAATTATTTCGAAAGTAAAAAATAAGAATTATGCATATATTAAAAACAAAACACATGCAAATATTTTATATATAATATGAAGAACGCAATAACACATATAAGCAAAAAATACATAAATATATACTAAGAACTAAATTATTTAATATATATTTTATGATTTCTTATTTTCTTATTATAACACCTCGCCTTCATAACAAATAGTTCATTTTGACTTCATAAATAGTTTATTTTTACTGACAAAGCAACGCCCTTAGCAACCATCCTCTGACATGATTTTAAAGTTATATTAATGATCAGTTTTTGATGATGATAAATTCTTTAGTTGCTTATTAAGTTAAAGTTGTTAGTCATACTTTAAAACAGTTTAGTTCAGTTTTAGTCTTGTAAAGCGTGCAAATCCACACTTTGTTTATATGTATTATTACATTTTTTTATTGACAACACTGAATAAATAATATGACAAGAATACATTCTAGAAATAAAGAGATCATTTGCTTGTAACCAGTACACACAAAAAAGAGAAGATCATTTAGCAAATAAACAAAACTCTTTATCTGGTTCTTTACAATCAGCAAGTAGCTCCAGTTCATGAAAAACAAAATTCAACCCAATAGTTCTTGAAGACAAAGATGATTATAACATTATTATTAATTTTGGTTTATTGAAATTTCTAGTTGAAGAAGTAGCTAGTTGCTCTGACTGTGGAAATGATATTAAGTTTGAAAATAATGAAATTAAGCGACAAGGATTTTGTTTAGAACTAAAACTATCATGTGCCTCAAGTTCTTGTCGCTGGCATCAAACTTTTAAAACTTCAAAGAATATCTCTTATGTTCAAAACAAAAACAATGTCACTAAATATAGTAGCAATAAATTATTTGCAGCCAATAGTGATAGCATTTAGAGAAATTGGTAGAGGACATAGAGCTATTAAATCTTTTAGATCATTATTAAATATGCCACCACCTATTGCTTTAAAAGCATATAATAATATTACTAAAATTTTTGCATGGTGTATATACTAGTGTTTGTAAAGCATCTATGACTAAAGCCATGGAAACAGCAAAATCAAGAGAACAGAAAAGTAATGAAACGATGACTTGTGCAATTTCTGTTGACGGTTCATGGCAGAAGAGAGGACACATCTCGCTTAATGGTATTGTCTCTATCATTTCAACCAATAAGGGAAAGTGTTTAGGCTATGACGTCCTTTCAAAAAAGTGTCATAGTTGTGCAATGTTGAAGCATAAAAAACAATCTCTTTAATATGTGAACTGGAAACTCAGTCATGTTTGCCGGGCAAATCATGAGATTTCAATTACCAAGCTGTATTGGACACATTCAAAAACGCGTAGGTACTTGTTGCAGAAATATTCGTATAACTCATAAAATTAAAAAGTTATCTAATGGAAAAGGTGTCTAAGGAATAGGTAGACTCAGTGAAAAAGCTATCAATACTCTTCAAAATTATTTTGGTAGGGAAAATATTGGTAACATTTATTTAATGAAAAAATCTTTATGGGCAACATTGTTTCACAATACAAACTTTTTTGATGAAAGTGTTCGTCATCAGTTTTGACCACGCAGCAAAGATAGCTGGTGTTTATGGCAGGCTGGCAAAATAACAGGTAACAAAACCTATAAAAAAAACTTGAGCCTTCCATTTGCAAATAAATATTTATTAATGCCAGTTTGGCATGACTTATCAACAGATTCGTTGTTGTTAAAATGTTTGCATGGCCAAACTCAAAATAGAAACAAATGCTTAAGCAATATGGTGTGGAAACAATGTCCTAAGGAGATTTTTGTATCTAGAAAACTTCTTAAAATATGCATTTGCTCTGCCGTTACTAAATTTAATGACGGTAAATCTGGTTTAACACCAATACTTGGATTGCTAGTTTCAAAGTTTAGGCTAAATGCGTTTAGAAAAAGTGATACAGACCGCATAAAAAACATTCATAGAAAGTCATCAACCAAAGGCATAACGATAAGAAGAAAATTAAGAGCTATCAGAAAAAGATTCCTTGATAAAGAGATGACATTATACCAGCTTATTTAGCAGGCTCATATTAATAAGATCATAGTTTTTATGTTAGTTTAGTTTTATTTCTGCGTTTTTCTCAGTATTTAATTTTTAGCGATTTTGTTAACTTTAAAACATATTTCAAGATCCACATAAGCTTTTAGGTTGAAATTTTCACAGTACATTCTTTAGTTTTAATAGCAGGAAATGAACCAAAGCTAATGTTTCATACAAAAAAATAAAAATGTTATGGCACTTTTATTGAGCATTTACTATAGAAAATAATGTCAATGAGTAACAAATATCAATATCTTTTGAAATATTTTATATTATGACTTAGTTTTGGTTCAACTCCTGCATTTCTATACAATAAAGAACTTGTAAAAATTTGAAGTCTCAAACTCTGTTTACAAAATGTCATAAAATAACCTTTTTTTTATTATTAATCGAGGCAAAAAGACTATTTTTTCGAATTAATTTTTTCAAATTATTTTATTTTGAATAAAATAAAAAAAAGTGAAGCCATAATAGCTATTTGTATTGACTTATTGTTTAAAGTTATAATTGTTTTTATAACAATAAGTAACTTATGCTGCTTTTAAATTATTGTTATAAAAATAAAAGAAATCAAATGTCAATTAAAGTTTACTAGTGATATTAAAACGAAACGAGTTTGAAAATGAAAGTAATTTGTTTATAAGGTTTACCGCCTCTGTTTTTTAAATTGTTTACTCTGTTTTTTAAATTGTTTTTAAATTTTTGAAAGGAATAAATTATTTTTTAAAGATGTCCAAGTAAGTCCCGAGTATTTCAAAAAATGATACTAAATACCGAAAACAGTTTTTTGAATGATTATTTAAACAGTTTTTTGAATGATTATTTATGCAAAAACGGTTTTAATAGAAAAATTAAAACTACCGTAGTTTATCTGAATCTAGCGTGACATCATTGTTAAACATACTCATTTAGGTGTGGTATTGAAAATAATAAATTCAATTTTCATAAAAAAATGGTTTTTCATGGATAGTTTTCCCAAATAATGTCTGATTACAAATATCAAGTTACATTCATTGAAAACAAATACCATTACGTGTATTTATGAAAAAATCAAATCCATAGACTTATCTATTGCCAAGCCCCAAGGTACTTTATGTTGAAAATTGCATCTTTTCTAAATAAAACTACGCTTGACGATTTGTTATAGTCACATTACTTTTACCTGATTATAACAGTGGTTAAAATAATCTTTTCATACATACAAAATATATCATATAACTTACATATATTGTAATTGAAAAAACTTATATTTTTGTTCGGAAAAACGTGTACTATGTCTTAGTTGCATTGAGAACAACAACAACCACTGGCGTAGGATTAAGGGGCGGAGGACAATAGCTTCCCAATCTTTCAGAAAATTTTCATTTTTTCTATTAAATTTCTGATTTTAGCTGTCTTAGCCTCCCTTAATATCCGTTTCAGCACCCCAACTTTTTTGACCTTCGAAATTTCTATTGCAAAAGTTGTTTTAAAAATAAAAATCTGTTTCCGCGTCAGACCTGATAACCCAGCCACATTGATAAACGGGTACCGTAAGGTTTTGTCTGGGCTTACTGGAACGGGATTTTGATGGGTAAATGTTATGGTTTCCGGACGGGTCCCATATGGTAAAAAAATTAAACAAATTAGATTGATTAGGTTTTATATGGTTTTTATCAGGGCCGAAAGCTCTGATAAAAATCTGGGGATTTGACGGGTTTTTGATATGGTTCCCAAAAAGTTTAAACTGATAATTAAAAAAATCATTACAAAACTCACTCGATGGTTGCCAATTATAATTCGTAATACGCGTGAAATAAATTTAAAAGTTCAACTTTTATGCATTATATTTTTTGTATACATTACATTTACATTTATAAAAGAGAAATGGTACTTTTTCACTGTAAAATTTCATTAAAAAATTGTTGTTTTAGAATTTCATTTGTTTATTAGCATTATTAAAAAAAAAAAAAAAAATTATAATAAATTTACAAAGTTTAACATATATGTTTAACATATGTTCCAGTAACTTTTAAACAGTAGTAACTATTCCATTGAAACACTGTTTGCATTTTTAAAATGATCAAAATTTAGAGTTTTGTTTCTGCTAGTGATGATAATAACTGCTTTGAAGTTGCTCAAAAAATTGGTTTAGTCAAGAAGAGCAAACAGGCAAAGTTGATGGATAGGTTATATTTAAGGAATTTAAAGCTTTTAAATTGTTTTTACAGATCCTTTATTTTCCATTGATTTCTCTACATTTTATTCAAGCAAAATGACTGATATTATCAAAGTTTACCCACAGTCAGATATAAATATCAAGTGTTTACAAATAAATGCAAAAATGGGTTTATTGTTATGCATCAACTGTATTTTTAAATCATTGATATTTTTTGGCTTTGATCAAAAATTGTATGCTTGTAATATCAACAATAATATCATAATATAAATAATAATAACTTATACTTACAATACTTATACTTATAAATACTTATAATACTTATATTTACAATACTGATAAAATATTTATTGATATATACTTTTGCATTCAAACTTTAATTTAACTTGATAACTTTAACATAAACGATACATAAAAAAAGATAATAGTTATTATATAGATCATGGCCATATGCTTCTTTATCATGACTGGGTTATAGTAAGTTAAATACCGTTTTTGTTTTCCATAACTTAATTTTAAAATATTCGGATAAAAATATTAAATTGCAAATTAAAGGAACAAAAATAGGTCCCACATGATTTGTATCTTATGTATATCTTGTATTTTGCAACATGTTTAAGAATAATTCTGCTTGGTGCACACTGACTGTTGACAATATTTGCATACTGATATGAGTAAAAGTGACTTCAACAACCAGAATGTATTTTTGATAAATATTAGTAATGAATAAATGATAATGTAATA